CCCCAAAACCCCAAAACCCCAAAACCCCAAAACCCCTTTATTAGCTTCATTAATTGAATATATAATTTATTAACTTTATAACACTATTCAGGCAAGAAATATTAAGCAGATGAACTATCTCACTGAGAAAACTAAATCTTCAGAGGCTTCAAAGTCAGGATTCCTGTCTTCAAACCCGACGAACCTTAGAGAGCTTGAGTCAAAGCTTAAGAGTGGAGTTTACTTTGATGGGCATCCTTTTGTCGATTATGAAAACAAGCAAGCAAACTGGGACAATTTCTCCAAAGGGATTTTATCCTCCTCTACCAATAAAATCTGGGAATATGTGAACTATCGGTAAGTTATGAGATGTATTAGGGTCATTATAAATCCCACAGATTATCAGATTGATTATTCTCTGTTAAAATCCCAACTTGAGATTACAACGGCATGATATTAGTTACTCCTTTTTACTTATTCATGAATTATAGCAAAAATGAACTAGACCAACAGGATTTGCTGAAACGAGTAAGTAACGGGTTACTTTGTATACTACCATATTTCCCTTCTGATGTCTTATTCTAATCATCGATTCTGAGTCTCCGATCTCACTGGTCTAGAAATAAGGAACAAGACAAGAAAGAGAATAAGAAAAATAATCAGTATAAGGAGAAATTGTTAGGCTTTCAAGAGAAAAGCAGGATTCTCAATACTAGGCCAGTAAGTTGGGGTTTTATCTTCCAATTTCCTTTTGAGTAATTCTTATTTGACAATAGTCTTTCCTACACGTTGATGTGAATCCTGATGTGGTTCATAAGATGCATCAGAATACCTCTAAACTAGAGTTCTTCAATATCCTGCTTAGAGTAAGCTCAGCCATTAAAACTACAGAAAATAGGTCCACAAATATTAACCAAGCGAAGGGGTTCTTACCATCAGATTCGGAACCCAATGCATTGGAACAAAGGACAAGACTGAACATTTATTGAGTCTTCTTCATTTATGAGTGATTCCTCTTTGAAATCCTCCAAAATATCCTCTTCCTCTGAATCTTCAGAAGACGGTGACTTCGTTGATGATGAAGATATCAACAAAGTGCTGATGAAAAGTTTTAAATTAGTTAGAAGAAATAGCTGTTGCTGTTCATTTTGTGGGAAAGAGAAAATAACTCCACTAAGAAAGCTCAAGGAAACACTGGTGCTCAAACAACAATGGCATAACGAAGCGAAGAAACAGGCAAAGGAAAGTGTATATATGTCTATTAAGAACATTGAAGAGCTACAAAATTTAAGCGTGAACCACCCCCGCAGTCGTCCTGGGGTACTCTTTGTATATGTGATAGTATAGTCGAGATACCATTCAAGAAATTGTTCAAAATTTACCCATCGTAATAACTCAAGGAAGGGAGATAAGAGTGGTTATCGTTATTCATCCGGGTATCGCAAAAACAATAATTTTCCTAGTAAGATCCTTTATTTTCACTAAATAATCTGTAGCTGATAACAAGCTTGGAGTCAAATTCAGCACTGGAATTAGCAAATATTCTAAAAGTAACGCTGGGGATACCGATCGTATGAGGTAGGCAAGAAATTATTAAATTAAAAAGTAAAACGAAAATTTTCTTATAAACATTCATTACCTTCGGGATCTCTAGTGTCAAGATCAGTAAAAGTCAGATGGGGAACTTTAAGAAGTCAAACTTTACGAGTAAGAATTAGACTCTAGCTTTAGGCCCCGAGAACAATATCAAGAAAAAGAGTAAGCATTCAGTGTTAGGTTAGGATTTGCTGCTTTCAAAAGACAAGATACTATATCCACAGGACTAAAGCTCTACAAGAAGTTTTCTTTCTCTAAACTTGAGAGGGAGAAGCAAGAAAAATAAATTAACAACTCCTAAAATAGTAAAAGATGTATGTATTTCAGATTATTTTAAGCAGAAATCACCATGATTTGGCAAGATGAGATTGACTTATTCCAGACCTAGCACGGATCAACTTGGAAAGTACATGAAACAGTATAATAACCTGAAACCAAGAACCAGGAACTTAGGAATAATGTCTCCTATTTCTCAGAGTTACAAGAAAAGTGTGATTGCGTTAAGCTCTAAACTTTTGAAATCAGCCAAGAGGAAAAAGAAGAGTAATAGCAAATTGTGCTCTAAAAAGGGAAGCATTGCTTTAGATCCTTACAGGTAATGCTACCTTAACATTGTATATAGCCCTCGGAATATCGCTAGGATTCCTCTTAAAACAGTGAGGACTAGTACAGCTCGACTGCTTCATCATCAAAGGCTGAAGAAGTTCTCCAAGAATGTGAAGTTATTATCCAGCCATCTTAAATTAGTTGATGCTAAATAATATGATTTAGTTTCAGGTTGATTCGAAGTTGCTGGGGTTTTGGGGTTTTGGGGTTTTGGGGTTTTGGGGTTTTGGGG